CGGGCAGTCGTGCAGAAAATGATCCAGGCCGCGATTACGAAACGGCTTCCAGTCTTCGCCGGGGGCGACGAAGGCGCCGTTTTTGCCGCTCTCTTTTCGTTTCTACGTGCCGTGTGCTACGATCGCGGACGCGATGTTGTCAGCTACCTGTACAAATAGAGAACGACATCCTGCGTGTGCGAAGAGTTACTTCATAGTTAGGAAAGAATTTTTTGAAGATACCGTCCCGATGATGAGAATATTACGAGAGAAAACGATTTTGTTGTCGCAATGGAACCTTCTCCGTCCTTGAAAGCTGAAGTTTTAAAAAAATGTATTTTAATTTAGAAAACGACATTTTGCGTGTGTGAGGAGTTACTTTATAGTTAGGAAAGAATTTTTTGAAGATCGCGTGCGAATAATGAGAATATTGCGAGAGTAAACGATGTTGTAAATGATGAAATGTTTCTCTGTCCTTGAAAATCGATACTTAAGAAAAAACCTTCGATTTTAATTTAGAAAATGACATTTTGCGTGTGCGAGGAATTACTTTATAGTTAAAAAGAATTTTTAGAGATCGCGTCTCTAATGATAATAAAATATTGTAAGAAAAAACAATGTTCTTGTCACGGAACGTTTTCTGTCCTTGCAAGTCGAAGGTTAAAAAAAAACTTTGATTTTAATTTCAGAGAATATGCTCATCTTTTTAGCATCGTTATTTCTTTCGCAATACAGTGCATGCATATACAGTGAGTGTTTTGCAAAATAAGTACAAAATGCACGAAGCGCCACGTAACTCGTGGACCGGCAGTGTAGTGGCGACGATGCGGTGCCCCTTCGTGGCCTCGAGGGTCGCTGATCCCACAATTAACATAATGAGGTAGAAAACGTAGATATTAGCGCGAGGTTAGTTAATAGTGCACTTATCCGGAGAATGTAAATAGTTGGTGGTCGCGGTAGCCGTCGCTCTTTCTCTCTTTCTCTTTCGTGTTTCGCGGCAGCGAAAAGGTCCATCCCTCGCCTTCTCGCGTTAACTCACCGCGTCCCGCATTTTCCGGTCCTTCCTCTCCCTCGAAACACCGCCATGTCATAAGAAATCTCGTAAATCAAAAGTGACAAGATCGAATTTCTGTTTGCATAATGCGGTCATTTTATTCCACGCACGTGTCCCCGAATCGAATCACCGGGCGCGAGGCTTACGTATTCCTCTAAACAAATTATTAATCAACGTTAGCGTCAGACATTACCAAAATTAAGTGGCAGTGTACAATTTGCAATCAGTGATCCTAGATCGATACGATCTTTCGATTAAAAAGATGCTCCAGCGAGAGCGTAACGGGTAATAACGGCGAAGAATAAAAGCAAAAGTAAAGCGTAACAAGAGAATTCCGTGAAGAAGGAAAGATGCGGTCGGTGATGGTATTTTAATTAGTATCGCTATTAGTACTATCCTTCAGCATGAATCACAGCTTAAGAGTGGTAAATAGAAGTTGGAAAAATAAATTAATGCGTATTATTACCAAGTGCATAGTAAATTAATTTTTTGCTGATATATGCAATGCCACTGTAATGACAGACATGCTTATATTTTCAATATTTTCTATGTTGCCACTGCTTTATAGCTTGAATTTTCTTCTTATTCATTTCCTTCTCTATATAGAACCATTCATTTCGTACTCTTTCTTCTACCATTGCAATCTCGTTACTTCTTGACGTTCTTCAGCTCTTTTCAGTGTCGTTACATCGTTACACCGTCTGCTCGAATGCACCGGGCGCATCTCTCCGCGGCCGATGGTATCGCTGTAATCTGCAACAGCTGCAACGGGGTTCTCGCGGTTCGAGACTATCTTATCCGTTGCATCCCTGATTTCTAGGCTTCTCCCTCTCTACCCCTTCCCTACCGCGGCTTACCTCTCTGCGCTCGCAAATGGCGGTGGCAATTTGCAGGTGCAAAGTTCACGATGGAGGGAAACCGCTAATGAGGGAGTGGTACGGGGCCCCGATGTGCAACGCAGGGCACGCGTGGATTTTCAAAGGGACGGGTTAATTACCCGCTCTGACCGCTGGAATTGTGACTTACTCGTGCACCCTGCTTTCCACAAGCTGTCGTGCATTCACAATCGCTAATTTGTCTTTGACGGCGCTAATCTTTCGTCCACTAACCTCCCCCCCCCCCTTCCCCCTCTCTTTCCATCATGTCGTATAGAGGCTCTTTTTGCAGTCTGCAGATCGAACTAGCGAATGTTATTCTATCTCAGCCCGCCCCTTCGAGACCGTAACTGTCCGATGGCGCCTCTCACTAGCCATAAATTAATTAAACTGGCGCGGAGGTGTGTGGACGGGTGTCAGTGCGGCGTTCTTCATCTTTTAACCCGTTTCGAACCAGTTCACCCGTATCTCGTTCGAGCAGCCTAAATCCTAAACTCGAGTTGCGCTACGGTTCGTTTCATATAGTTTTCGAAAGGGCAGGGTTTGTATTCCTCGACATGAATATTGTCGCGTTTCAAAGCCTTTCAACAGAATGTTGTTTCGCTCTGCTTAGATAAAGAAATTTTGATCTATTTTGCATCTGTCAATATAATTGCTCTATATAGAGCGGCAGGTAATGACATATATAACTTTACTGTCTAGCTTATGTAATTTCTTCGGCACTGTATCGTGCCGCTAATTACACCCTGAACGGGTGCTAATCGCTTCCAAGTACGTATGTACATCGTTATTATAATTATCACTGTGTGGTCTATGGGAATTTATCATCATAACAACGTCATTCGTCGTCTCTGCACGCACTTATCTTAAATAACTTCGTTTAACTTAAAATGCAACAACATACATATCATGGTCGCTCTCAAGCTGGACGCGTGATCGAATAAGATTGACGGAATAATAAGACCAAACACGGAACCTCTTCACGGAATATATTATAATTCAAATATTTTCTTTTTGTCCACTTTACCATCTCGAGGATTTGTACACTCTGGTTCATATCGTCTTGTTCTTTGTGCAATTAAAACCGTAAACGCGGAGAGACGGTCAAATTTTTATCACGTCCGCAGATTGTCTTAGAAACAGCTTATACGTCGGCGCATAGTTGTTCGCATAAATCGTTCTTCGGCCGACGTATGGCAGGGGGGCGTGAATGGGGCGTAGCAACATAGTAACGTTTATTACATTGGCCGGCAACTAGCGAACTGTGCGCCCTCGCCGATCTCTCCAGAGGACCAGACGCGTTAAAACTTTGCGGGACCCCATACACGGGCACTCATCGCGGCATTTATCGATACCATTTCATCTCGTGCTGATGCCGATGCCCGATCTTGATCGCGAGACAAGCGCAAGGAACAAAGACATCCAGATGATGGAGGTATCGTTATTGCTCTTAAATAAGATCTGTCCTAGAAAAGATACAAATGATAAAGCTGGATAATGTAGTTTAAAATATCAAACACGCCAACGCTTTGTAGTTTCCCTCGTCGTAGATAATGGCGGTCGGTTCGATTTAATGTTAGAAACGAGCAGGGTAGGTAAACGAGGTAGTCAATACGCTCGCGACGAATGTTCCATTCCCATTGTTTCGCCGTGTGCAGGTCACTTCCACGAGTAAAGATCGATCGAGTGTGTCACGGGTGGTCGGATGGCGAGTGCACATCGTTTTCGCATGAGCTCCTCGTCGCGTTTAACTAGAGGTGACTTCGTAAAAGGGGGAAGCCGGATGCGGTAAAGAGACACCTCCATGGACGCCACTTGCCGGCATTAATTTCTCACGATATACGTCGTGCAATTCCCTTTTACGTATGTAGGGCCACCAATTATATGCACGCTCATGGTGCAAGTACCGTGCATCGACACATCGTATGTTCGAAAATCATTTAGCACAATTACCTAGGTGCATGCGATCTAAATTGGGAAGGAATGAAGTAGGGAGTATTAATTCTTGATTTGACTACGTTATTTCACGCTCGTGAATGATGAATTCTCATGGAGAAGAGGCAAGGTTGGAAACAATATTAGGAAGTCGTAACGGGATCGAAATTATTGGTGAGATTCTCACAAAGGAAGAAAACAATGAAGGCGGAGGCAAAGATTTATTTCAAGCCTCATAAGGTTCATGTCGGAATAGAAATGTTCACGGGCTTCTCGTTCAGTAGAGGAAAGATAAAAAAAATCGCAAATTCTGAAATCATCTTCGCGCTGCTAAATTCGAGATCTCATTTAAGACGCACGATCGTTAGATTCTCGTAATATCGTGTCGGAAAGAAATTAAACGCCATCGCGGAAACTTGAGGAAATTAAAGCGATTCTAAAGGTATCTGCGAGATTCTCGTAAAATGATGAGTAAAGATGATCGTGGAATTCTCGTTAATTTAAGATGGCGCTATAAATGATGGCGAAATTGTCGTAAAAGCGGAATATTATTAAAGCGATCGTCAAATTTATACAGTACTCGTACAAAGTTTATATCCGCTTAAATTAAATTAATATTCACGCCTTTAGAAATATGATTACAAGTGTAAATAAAAACGTATACAAATTTTAAAAAAAGAACATCTTATTTTATGCAAATATTGGCCGCGTTCAGCAGAAAAAGCAGCTTAAGAACTGTGTAAGATTCCTTAAATATAATTTGTTCTTGTTCTTACATTAGTTATTAAATTTTATTTCTCAGTGGATTAAAATGTATAAATCAATATCATTGAAGTCTTATAACAGTTACAAAGCTGTTTTTTTTTACTGACCGTAGTTGTTACGCAAATTTAAAGAATAGAAAAACAGCAATTGTTGAATGATATCTGAGAAAAACGCCACGAAAAAAAAATTAAAATTAACGCGACGACCCGTACATCACAGAAGCTTGTATCAACATTGCTACAACGTTGCAATGTTACCGGAACGTTACAGTTTTGCTGCAACGTTGCAATGTTGCTGTAATATTCCTGGAACGTTGCAATCTTGCTGTAATATTGCTAGAAAGTTTGGTAAGATTCAGGATGATCGAGAATGAGATGGAATGCGAGACTTACGTTTATACTGTTGAGGGGTGTCGGACTGACACCCCTGCGGCCACTGCCGCCACCACTGCTAACCTCCGCGTCCAGTTTGCCGATTTGTATAATCGTTGCAATACGAACGGACTCGAAGTGATCCTACGATCCTGAAAACGCAAGGCGAAATCACGCGAGATACGCACACACGTATCGGTCGCGAGGTGTGGACGATCTCTTTGGCGTTGAAGGTACGCGGGCTTCGATCACGACTCCATCTCTCGAGTGCCTTCGATGATTTCAAGTGTTCTCAAGATCAAGACGGATGTCTCCTCCCGCAATCGCGATACTGTTCTCTCTCTCTCTCTCTCTCTCTCTCTTTCTCTTTCGAGAGCGCGCAATCTTTTGATTTGAATCGTATCAATAATAGACACGCGGTTACGACACGTCAACGTTGCAAATGAGTCGCACGGAGTAGCCTCCTTTCAGACAGCCGGCTACATTCATCGCGACGAGCGCACTGGCTGGTTGAATGGCACTCGTAAAATGTACGCACAGTGCTCGCGACGCTCGTCGGGGCACAGAGCGTCGACGCGCGGCAGGCCGCGCGGCCGGCCGGGCCGAAATCGCGAGCTTCATATTCACTTGTCGCGCTCCAAGCGTGAGCTGCGTGAGCGGGAAACGTAACGCGAATCCTTACGACGGAGTACGGACACTATACCGCGACGGACCGAGTACCCCTTTTTCGTCGATTAATGCGCAACGACGACGCATCCGTGTCCCACTTGGATTCCTTTCGCGTGGATACTACCTGATTCCCCGACAAGCGGAACATTCGCGACGACAACCGGTAACGATGGTGATGGCGATGACGATAATGACAGCGACGATGGTGGGTGATGCGCGCGTGATTAAGGCGGTGACGGCGGTGACGGTGACGGTGACGACGGTGACGATGAAGGCGACAACCGCGACGAAGGCGAGTCAGCGTGCTGCTCGTTCGCCTTAAGGGCCGTTCGTCGCAGACGCATGCTCGCGGCACGTCGCAGCCTCTCGCACTGACCGCACGTAACACGTAAGAGAGAGGTGCGTACTGTACTTGTGTGTCTACCCCCTCCTTCTGTCTTTCTCTCTCTTTCTCGCTCTCCGCGTCTTCCCTCCCGTTGCGCGCCGCGCCGCGCGTTCGCCCTCCGAGCGCTATCTCTCCCTATCGCGCGCCCGCTCTCTTCGTCACTTTCTCGTCAATTACCGTACGCGCGGAAGACGGCCAAGAGGAGAAGAGTTTTCACACACACGTGCGCGCGCGCGCGCGAGCGCGCGGACTCTTTTCGAATCTGCTTTGCGCGCCAACTTCTCGCGGGTATCCTACTATCCTCGCGCGATAACTCCGTATAGTCTCTCCGTAGAGAACGTTGATGAGTCCGGAATTGCCGTGGCGCCACTTTTCCTCCCCTCCCTCTACCTTTATTCTCTTCTTCCACCTAGTCCTCGTTGTCTTCGTCGTCGTCGTTGTCGTTGTCGTCCTCGTCGTTGTCCTCCGCCGCGCAGTCACGAGGCTGCCTCCTCTCCGCTGCGCCGCAAGTCCCACCTCGTTTTTCCCTATAATTTACTCGGCAGCCGAGCTTTTTTTCCTTTACTCCATTTTCGTATCTCCTCTCTCCACCCCGCCGCTCGTCGCGACTCTACCGTTGCTACCCTTTGCGTCCCTTTCGTCCCCTTTACCCTCCACCACCCCCTTCTGTTCTTCCATCGTTCATCCTTTGCGACGTCTCTCTTTTTCTCTCTGTCTCTGCCTCCGCTACTGCCACCGCGCCACCGTCACTGCCTCTTTGCCTCTATCTCTACCTCTGCCTCTGCCCGCCTGCATGTACCTCTTCCTCTTGGTGCCAGCCATGAATCCTCTATCGGGCTGAGGGGTCAGGAGGGTTGTGTGGCGCGCCGCCCCTTTAATAGCGCTACGTCGACCTCTTCCATTCACTGTGCCTCCATCTACCAGTGGCAAGTCGAAGATCATTGTCGCAGTGCTGAATGCAATCACTCTGACACCCTGAGCAAACAATATTCATCAAAGAGAAATTATGTTTTTCATCAGATTTTTTTCGATATGAAAAAAATATTATATTTACTCTTTTTTTAATTAAAGCTTTTATGGATTTACAGATTATTAAAATAATTTTCCTGGAAAATACTTCACAATTGCAATACATTGTAAACAATTGTACTATAAAAGATTATATGTATGTTTATATGTACACACACACATTAAGGACTGCACATAATAAATCAAATATTAAACATAGGAATAACTAATATTACGATTTCAAGCTATCATAAAACATTTGTCTGAAACATATGACGGTTTTTGATATAGATCTTAATATTTATTCCTATTTTTAAATTTCTTCCATTATGCTCAATGAGGACGTTCTGCATCTGCGATCTAACAATAAGTCGATCCACCTGTTAGAAAGTGTATAGAATGAAAAATATTTCTAGAGCGCTTACCTTTCCGACTGACCTTTTCTTTGAGTGGAACGAAGAGCGGATGACATCTCGAATGACAAGAAGATATCAAGAAAGATCTTTTAAAATTTCACCGTACGACTCCTCTTTTTTTTTTCATTCATAATATCAAAATCTCTGCTATAAAATCATAGAAAATAATAACTCGAAATTCAGGTGTAAATGGAATAATACTAGATTATTGGGATAAGGTAAATATAGGGGTACACATATAAAAAAAACTTTTTAAAAATAATTTTAAAAGAATTTTTTACATATATTGTATTCGTAGAATAGTTCTATAATCTCCAATGGTTAATGCTTAGTTTGTAGTCTTAGGTAAACAACATAACAAAGATAATTTTATAATAAATATTGATATAATAAATAAATATAATTCTTTTGACTAGAATAATTATTACATAATGTACAATGAGGATGCAATTACATTTTGTAAATATTTTCTTAATTTTTGCTATGTATCTTCTTTATCAATCAATTTATCTCATTTTCTACATGAAAGTATTAAGATATGATGATTGAAAAATGAAGATATTTCGTATTAGTTAAAATAAAATATGAAATATCATGCAAACTATTGATGTTTTATGACATTATCTTTATATTTTTTATATTTCAAAAGAATCAATAAGAAAATTTATAATTTTAGTTAAAAATAAAATAAAATTATTTTGATATGATTTTGAAGAATTAATCAATATCAAATTAAGGTTACCATTTTATATTGTACTTGAAAGCAATTTTCATTTGAAATAATTCTAGCTGAAATTTTAAATTTTTGAGAACTGTTTAACTATTCTAATCACAATCAGCCATATTATATTTATAATACATACATGTTACATATTTGTAATATATTATATACATATGCATTTATGTATGCATTTTTTTTTTATATATATATTATATATAGGTACACATTACATACAGCTACGTACACATCACATATAGACAAGGATAAGTAAAGCATTATATCTCTTAAATTAAGTATTCCAGCAAAACGTTTATATAAAAATTGTTTAGTTTTAAAAATAATATGAAATGGTAACTTTTATTTGAGTGAGTGGTATTTTTATAGTCATATCAAAGTTATCTGTTTTTATACGAAATTGTATACATTTTTTATGTAAATTAATTTTCCTTAATATTCTGCATGTGTTGCATATATGTACAATAATATATATTTTTACACAAAATATAAGTATATTTAAGGAGTAAAAATATATTTTTCTAATAACTTACTTAAAAAATGAAATTTTATTTCTTTAAGAAAAATTTTTCAAGAATATTTTAGAAAATTTAATTTTAAATTTAATATCGTACTTTGTATTAGATTATATACAATTATATGATAAATATTACAATATTAGAATTAATTCAAGCCGCACTTGATGTCATATGCGAACTTTATATATAATACAATAAATATATCCATTCATTAATAAATCAAAACTCCTTACAAATCAAAGAATTGGAAAGAATAAGGGCACTAGGAGTCAGCCGCAGAAGACTCTTCCAATTACTCTTTCCAATTCTTATATCCATTCAATTAAATTTTAAACATAGACTTATTTATTGTTTTGTACATAAAGTTCGCATATATATGACATCTAGTTCGACTCAAATAGTTCTAATATTGTATAGTCCTAATATTGAATCTAAATTTATTAGAGCCTTATATTCAATTACCTTAATTATTATATGATACAGTTTATATGTATAAAATAAATAATCATTAAAAAAATTATATAAAATTATATACAATACAGAGTTTTTATAAACTATATCATGAAGAAATTCCCTATTTCACCAAAATATCACGAAAAAGTATATGACTGCGATTTCCAATATTCTTGAGAAGAAGTTGAGGAATTTGAAATTTCTACAGAGATGCTTTTGAATAAACTATTCTTGTTCATGTCATTCTTGATTGCACGAGATTTTCTATTTTCCTTCTCATGCGTCTTTACATGCTTCTTGAGATGATCACTTCTCATAAACCTTTTATGGCACTTGGGGCAAAGGTACTTCTTTTCACCAGTATGCGTGCGATAGTGACGTTGCAGCTCATCACTTCGAGTGAATTTTTTATAACAGGAAGGCCAACTACAGGAATACGGTCGTTCGCCGTTGTGCGTTCTAATATGCGCTTTGAGATGTGACGACTTGCCGTATACTTTTCCACATCCTAACACATGACATATGTGTTGCTTTTTGCCGTCATTACCAAGTGGGGCATTATCCTCTTTCATAATGCAATTAGGACACTCGCATTTCTTCCTGTTGATATTATTTGATTTGTGTACGAAGTCTCGAAATTGAGATTCTGAAGATCTCATTGAATTATAAAAATTATGTTCTAATATATATTGATGAGAGTTGGTCGCTTTTTCCGATAATTCTTGTGATAGAATAGGATTTGATGAACAATAATATTGGTGGATTGGATCAACTGTTGCAAACTGATGACATTGACATCTTTGCTTTGTTAATGATGTGTCGGTTATTACCTCAGGCGTTAATATTGCTGTATGTGTATGTGACATTGAACATTCACGACTTTCTTTATAAGCAGCACCCTGGTAGATCGATGTATTTGGCAAAGCGTACGAAGGTGGTCCGTATTTAGTATCTTCCTGACGAGTTGAATTGGGAAAGATAATAGAAGTTGTATTATTGTTTGATTGAAAGTGATAATTGTTCGGAGTTATGTAACCATAGCCTCGGTTGTAAAAATTGTACTCCTGCTTCGTACGATTCACATCTTGAGAAGCCAGCGTATTCGTTATTCGTGTCGTACCAGGCATTGAAGATGAAATTGATGATGTTGTTTCAATGAATGTCTATAAATAAAAGACACGTGTAAGTAAAAAGGAAGGAATAAAAAAAGAAAGAGAAAAAGAGACAGAGAGAGAGAGAGAGAAAGAGAGAGAAAGATTTATGTCATTTATTAAGTGTTTTTAAACAAATTTCAATACAGCACAAGTAGCATACATAATGAAAAAAAAATACATAATAAGTTAATAAAAACAATGAATAATTTGTATGCTAATAAAAATAGTATTGTGCATGTATACATAACAAAGTATGCATAAGATGCAAAGAAAAATATGTGATTAATGAAATATTTTAAGAAATTATTAAAATTATTGTACTTAAAATTATAAAATATCAGAATGTCACAATATATTTTGATAGCCATACGAATCTTAATTAACAAAAAAAAATACCATTGTATGCAAATATCACAAATAAAATATTAATGCATGAAGAATCACATCAGTGTACGATACGGCAAAGCACGCAAATTTT